TGACGCGCATCGGTCCTATTCGTGCAAGGCCTGCTGTTCGAGCATCTACTACCACCAACATCCCAAGTGTGGATGCCACCATCCGTGCTGCAACGACTGGTGAATCGGGACGGAACACCCGCACTCCAACTATGGCTGTGAACTCCCCGGTTACGCCCGCCGAGCCCGTTTCACGCACGCCTACCCCACGCACTCCTACTACAGCGGTGGTGACTCCAGTAACCACGACTAATCAGCCCACCGCACCGCCGTCTGGCACTGGTTTGTCAGAATCCCAACCACTAGAAAAAGGCTTGTTAAGTAGCGGGTCAGTGCGTCCATAACCCCCCAGGACAACGAGCCAGTAACTCTTCCCTATGATCAATCGGGATCACCAGTGGACCTCTGACACCCCCCCGCACTGGGATGCCCGAAGTGCACACACTGGGATTCGAACCCGAGACCTTCGCTCTGATACCGTGTCAGAATCCCAACCACTAGACCATTGGGATAAAAGGGCTTGTTAAGTAGCGGGTCAGTGCGCCCATAACCCCCCAGGACAACGAGCCTGTAACTCTTCCCTATGATCAATCGGGGATCACCAGTGGACCTCTGACATGGTTCGCCATCCACGCCATCACCTTCCATTCCCACCGCGTCCCCCTCGACCTCCGCGGGTGGGACGGGGACGCCTCCTGCAGGGGGATCACCAACACAGAGCAATGGTCGGTCAACGGCAGGCTTGATTGGTGTTGGCCCGGAGGCTGCAATTGCCACGGTCATGGCGGAAAGCATCGCAAGCGCCATAAACAGTGCTGTGGACCGTGCATGCGACAGGTTTGAGAGGCTTACTCGGTCGTTGGTCGGGTCATGGCCGGGTGAGTCCGAGCCCAGGATGAATGGAGGCCGTGGGCCAACCGATCACGACGGAGAGCCGGAGTAAACGCGACCGTATCAGGCGTGGTGTGGACTGCTTCGGCTGCCGGACCTTCAAGCCACCAACGGTGTCCTTCGCGAGGGGCACCGGCGCGAGGGCGGCTGCTCAGCGTGTTCTCCAGATTGTGTGACACCACACATGCCCCCACGGTCCGGGGCACCTTGCGGATGTTGGCCTCCATGCGCCCGTCAAGAATCCGCCATTTCCCTTTCAGCCTTCCGTTTGTTTGCTCGACGATCATGCGCTCGCGACTCTGCTGCTTATTCCATGTTGTCTCTTCGTCTGTAAGTAGATTTGTAGTCCTGTCTACTTTGTAGGGCGTGAATGTGTAGTCTCGTAGTCCGTACGCTGCATCAGCAACAAGGCAATAGCCATGTAGCTCCCCTCCTTCAATGCGAGCGCATGCTTCACTATTGTTCCACACACGCGCATCATTCACACTCCCGGGCCAGCCCATATCGAAATCCCAGATGTCACCATGAGCATCGACGATAAGCTGAAGAATGACGCTATAAAACCCCTTACGGTTCTGAAAGTCGGCGCGGTGTTCCCCGAATCCGCGTACCTTGATGAATGTCCCATCCAGCGCACCTACGACGCCCGGAATTCCGCCAAGCCTCTGGAATTCACTGGCCATAGCAGGCATGTCATCCAAGTCAGGCCACTTGACCCAATCGGGACCTAACATTTTGAGAACAAAGTCCTCAAACTCGTCACATATGGTAACAGCGGCGCTCCTACTGACTCCAAAGTGCAAACCGCACATGCGATAACTCCAGGCATGCGCAAGGCGTGACAGGCCCAGGGCGACACGGAGCTCATGTGTCTAGTTCAACGTTGACTTCCGCGGACGAGCTATGAGCCACTCCTGAACGATGAAATTGAAGACGCGTTTCTCGACACGAAACATGGCGATGTACAGGTCGTCCGAGAACTCGTTCAGCAGCGTCTGCCACCTTGCCCGCACACTAGCGCGATTACGAAGGACTCCTTCCCGCATAGCAGCAGCAACAGACTTCACCAGAGCGGGCAGTAGAGATGCGAATACATTGCCAATAGGAGCGAAGACACATGCGACGAGGCCTTGGTGTGCTAAATTAACTATACGAATTGTTCTTGCTGCCATGCTGGGCATCGCTGAGTGAGATAGTTGCCAAATCAGAACGCAACGTAATATAGATGCATGTCGGGCTGTTTGCTCTCAATTGCGAGTGATTTTGGCTGACGGGAGCGCATGGGAGGGATGGAATTGTTAGAATCCCAGCCACTAGACCATTGGGATAAAAGGGCTTGTTAAGTAGCGGGTCAGTGCGCCCATAACCCCCCAGGCCAACATGCCTGTAACCTTTCCCTAGGATCAATCGGGGATCACCAGTGGACCTCTGACACCCCCCCGCACTGGGATGCCCGAAGTGCACATAACGGGATTCGAACCCAAGACCTTCGCTCTTATACCATGTCAGAATCCCAACCACTAGACCATTGGGATAAAAGGGCTTGTTAAGTAGCGGGTCAGTGCGCCCATAACCCCCCAAGACAACGAGCCTGTAACCCTTTCCTAGGATCAATCGAGGATCTCTAGTG